ATTTTGAATTAAGCAAGTGTTATGTCATCTGCCGTGTCCCCTAAGAAATAGTAGCAAGATTATATCTTAATCTAGACTAACTCAAATCAATATTCCAGTAGAACTTGCTTAGATAAAAATTACAAGAGCCCTTGTTTTAAACTAAGCTCCTGCTCAAGGCCCCAGTAAACCAGATCAAAATGCAGTCACACATGCTAAAATGTCGCATCATCCAACTGAAACTTCAAGGAAGAAGCTATCCCCAAAGAGGCGAGCTTTTCTGGAAATAGCAGAAAATGAAACTTTTACCCATCTTGTGGCTTTCTTAGGAATATGTACCTAACAAAGCACAAGATGCTACCAAAACTTTCTTTGGAAAGGTTTTTGCTATAGGGCGTGTGCGCTCACTAGACAGACAGAGACAGAGAGATGGAAAGTGAGAAATACCCCCCCAGAGGGGATGGCCACGCTGCAATCCCTTCTCCTCCATTCTCCTCTTAGGATCTTGGGCATGCACGCACATGCGCCCAGCGTGAGTCCAAGCCACCGAGTCCGGGACTCAAACTGCAGTCGACCACGTGGGAGTCCAGCGACATAGCCATTACACTAACTGCTGGTCCCAACTACCAAAACTTATTAGACTTTTGTTTTATGAACATCCTTACTGACCAACTTGGACAAGGTTATTTTCTTAACCTTGGCCCCAACTAATTTTTTTTTTTTTTGCCTCAGTCTTCCTTTATAGATTGACGACAGTGACATACAATCACTACTTTTGAGCTGACAGTGAACTACCTCAGTATTCTAGCAGAGAATTCCCAGAAGACTAATGCAGAGTGCTCTAAATGCTGACATGTCTTCTCCCTACCTCCTTTTCCTCTCAGTGCTGAATGCCTTCTACCTCCTTTCGCTCTCGAACCTGTGATGGAGAGTCCAAATGGCGGGAACCTTGCAGACATCATTTTGTGTTTTGCTGAGATAGAAGTCTGGTCTGGAAGAAATGGCTGAGACCTAACAAGCCAGAATCTTCGTTTCAATTACATCTGGGGGAGAGATTAGATACTGCCTTAAACAAAAGCACTCTAAGTCCCTGTCAAAAAGACTTCTTGATGCTCCTGTGATGCTGAACTGCAGATGGCTACTAAAGGCTTGAAAAATTCTATTCCTAGAGACAGAGAGCAAGAATGTACCTCTCAGGGAAGATGGCCACATCACAATCCCTCACCTCCATTCTCCTCTTGGGATTTTGGATGTGCACACACATGCCTGGCATGTTTCTCAAACTGCTGGGTCCAGGACTCGAACTGCATAGTCGGCCACATGGAATCCAGTCACCTTAACTTCTATGCCATCTTCTGGACCGGGTTCCTTATATCCTTAAAACTTTTAAGTGTTGTTCCTAGTGATCACCATATACAAAAGTAATTACATGATCACGTTTAATATTCTGATGGTTTTATTAACAAGTATATAATACATATATTGCATACTGTATATAGTATATGAGGACCTGTACAGTACAAATTTATGTTCACAGTTTGACATGACAAAATGTCATTACTGAATTCCCATTGGACTACAGAGTAGAAACAGAGAAAGTACATTAAACATTCACATCTTTAGTAAGAAAGATTACCAAAATGTTTCAGTATTTGCAAGTATACTAATGCATGCTAAAAACCTTTACCCATTCAGTCTTATTAGCTTATAAAATATATTACACTTTATTAAAAATTTCTGCATAGTTTATACAAGTATTAAAGTATTGTAAATGTAATAATCCTGCTATACTTGCAGGTATGGTTTAAGAGATGCTAAGCAGAAAGATTATTTTGACCCTCTAACACTAAGTACATAACAGAAAAAAAAGTGCTAGTATTTGTAAAACAATATTCTTGTAGCCCTCGTTTAATGCGTGGAAAATGGCTTTGTAAATGTATTTCGTGAATTTGCAATCGTTGAGAAATTGTTAACCTTGACCATGAAGAGAATAAAGACAGCGCTGAGCAGCTGTGTGTTGGACAGCAATCTCTCCAAGATGACTGTGTATTTTTAAGCCAATTGAATTTAAGACCTTAGATCTTTAAGATTGTCTTGAAAACAATCTAATCAGGAATGATGTACAAACAGTATCAGCAATATAGTCTTTCGAATTCCACATTAGTGCAATACTGATAGTGCAGGTGGGTGTTTAATAAAATATACATATACATATATAGTTTCCCTGTAACTCTGTTCCAAGGCTCTTAAAAACTCCTGCATGTTTAGCATCTCCTTAGTTGAACATAATCTATGCTGCTAACACCTTCTCCAAACCAACTGCTTTAGGATGTCAATGCCCATTTGTGATGGAGATTCACATTTTAAGACTCTAAAATAAAAGTGGGACCTGATTTAATCTTTAGGACTTCTCCAGACGACCTTTGGTAGCAACTGAACAAACGTTCTCGCCAACAAAATTTATAGACACCAACTTCATGTTCACCTATCATTTGCATCCATTAAAAAATATCGTCATTAAACTCACCATGGATAATAACATGGCACATCATTAAAACCACGTGTTCAAGGGCATCTTATCTTGTATTTGAGGTCTTCCACAAAGAACAGCTAAAAATGACTAAGAGACTAAATTTCTCAACTATCATAGTAAAATACAAACGTATATATATTTATATATATTTAAGAAAAATTTGGTAAGGGCCAATTGGTAACTAAAGTATGTCAATCGGCAATGGAAGTGAAGAATGGCCTCTCTGGGTTGCTTTTCTTTCGGAGTTAAAGTGGATCTTTGTTAATGATCAACAGAATCTAAGCAACAGTAAAGAAATAGGGCAGGGTCTCGCTTGTCTTCTGAACAAAATTTAAACATACCATAGCAAATGCATCGATTTTTTGAGAACCCATGAAGCTTTCTATGAGCTAGACCCAGACTCAAAGCTGAATCAAAGGAGATCAATTTTGTCCTTTCTTGCCCCCCTTCCCTGTGGATAGGAACACGCATAAACAGGTGACCTCCACTAGACAAAAAAAGTTCCTTGCAGTCCAGTTTGATTCTTCAGTGTGGAAGAACCCAAAGAAATGGACACTCTGGCATGGACATAAAGAAGTGTTTACAGCACAGACAATAGCAACTTTTCCAAGAGCCATTTTTAATCCCTCAATTCATGATGTAATTGCAGAAAAGGAAAAACAAAACAAAAAACAAAAAAAAAAACAGCCCAATCAGGATGTCCTAAAATTCTAAACAAATTCTGCAGTGCTTAATTGGAAAAAAAAAAAAAAAAAGATAAAGGAAAATCAAACCCAAGTGCCAAGATTACAAATTTCTTTGCATTTCTCAACTACATTTCTTCTCAGTTAGCTCACCGGGCTAAGTGGAACCTCTTAGGTATGCAGTCCCTACAACTAACTTGTATTAACAGCGCCATCAGACAGCTCCCCACACCAGTTACGGGCCTCCAGAACCATCCACCGGTGTTTTTTTTTTTTCTAAAAAAAAAAAAAAACGATCGAACAAGGCATTCCTCCCAGTTAAGGCTGTGTTGGATCCTGAGTGTGGCTGGGATGAATCTTCAGGATTCCATTCTTCTCCATCCTTCATGGAGGGATGAAGGGGCATTGGGTTGTACGTACCCACATTTGATCACTGTTGCCCCTTTCTTCGAATAGAGGACCAATGGCATTTCTCGTCTGAGTGATTTTTATTGGCATTTAGACTAGGACGCTCAAAAGCCTGCTTTTGATAAACTCCCCCCAAGAATGATGCTATTTCTCTTCCACAGAAACATGAGTCATTATTTTTTACTTTGTTCATCTGACAGGATACTTGCCTGCTCCAACAGTGAATTGGGGACAGTTTCAAGCTACACATGTAAATCCCTGAACTGTGGTTTTCTTTTTTCAGAAATAAAGGTATGTGTGCTTCACAACTAGTTATATTTACAGATAGCTGTCGCTCAGGTCTTCGCTGAATGAATCTACTACAACGTTAGCAGATGTTTACCTGGGATATGTGACATGAACAGAAATGCCAGCCAGTACGGCACCTCCCAGCTCACTCGGAAGCGCCTGTCTAAAATCTGTGTTAAGATGAGTCTAAAATCTGTGTTAAGATGAATCTGATATGGGAATACAAGTACCACTCAAGAGTTCCCTGTTTGTGAAAAAGCTAGAAGCAGGCTGGGTAAAAGAACTCTCACCCCGAAGATGTTTGGATAATGACTGGGCCAATACCTCTGCGTCCCGATCAACAACGTTTGTCGATCTGTGTTAAGGATGTTGTAGGAATGGAGGTTGGTTACAACCCACTGGAGCCTGGCTTTGCAGCATGGTTCTGCACAGCCGAGCCTGTCGACATGGAAGTTCTGGTGATGCTAACCTACACCGAAACCTCACCAAGCACCCCTCGCCCAGGCAGAATCCCCGGCTTCCTCCTTAACCCCCCCGCACCTCCCTGTTCCACAGGGACAGCACGTGTCCCCCGAACTGCCACATATCGCCCACCCGAATCAGTGTTCTGGCTCATCTCCCAAAGGTGGCAAAGACCTCCAGAGGAGCTGTGAGCATCAAAGAAGGCAAGGAGCTTGATTTAGACGAAGTGACAAATCCAGGTTGACCAGAGAGATCTGTGAAGGCCAGTGAGGAGCTGGCTGAAGGAGTCTGAGGTCCTGGCTGAGCCCCTAGCTAAGCGGTGAGAGGGGTCGCCCTTCTTTTCACGGTCAAGCAGACAATGCGGTCACAGGGCACAGCGGTCTGACTGTCTCTGGCATGCCCCAGCAGGCTGGATACTGTATTTCTAATACATTTACTCGGACATTCTTTTGAGAATACATGGAAAAACTGACCATTGGTTACGTGAGTTTACATGTTCCCTTGTCCTCATTACATTAAACGTATCTGTAAGAAGGGTTTGCTTAGCATCCCCAGAAGGAAAAAAAAAAAAAAAAGTGTTCACATTCTTTAGGTCTGACCCGTGGTAAGGAGAGGGAGATTAGAGAGTATCCACTACTGACCATATGGAAGTTTTGAGTGATATAAATTCAGGGACTCAGACCAGCTGAATCCAAATTAAAATGTACATGTAAAAAATGAGTTAGATCATGGGAGGGAGGTCAGAGAGAGTCAGGCGAGCGGGGAGTCGCGTCGGGTGGGAGACGGAGGCCTTCAGACCAGCATGTGACGTTTCCTATGGAGGGCCAGGTGGTCGGAGCGGGAGAAGCTGCGGTCACAGTCCGGGCACTGGAAGGGTTTGATCCCAGTGTGTTTTCGGAAATGTCTTGTTAGTTCGTCAGACCGAGCAAACTTCCACGTACACCCTTCCCACGTACACTTGTAGGGCTTTTCTCCTGCAGGGAAGAAAAAGAAGAGCGCTGACTCTTCCTGTAAAGGTAGTCAAGTGGACGTTTTCGAGCTAACCTCTCGACAAAAAGGATTTTCTAGTTAGGCTCCTAGGCTTGTCCCTCGATAACACAATAAACCACTTGCTACGGTGTGAAACTGTCCACCCGAAATTCGCGTTAAAATTGGCCCAGCCATGGCCAATTAAGCCTATGGGATAAAGAGCTGGCGCCTTCCAGGGGTGACTTGGGCCTGGGGTGAGGTTCCCAAGCGGAGCCCCACCTTTATGAATGCTGGTGGGTTTAGAAGAGGAGGGAAGGAGGGCAGATAAGCTCTCTCCTGTCGACGCGTGAAGCCCTCCACATTGTCCACTAGTTGTGGCCCTAGACCCTCCAAAGCACGAGCTGAGCAAATCTGTTTTTAAAATATCACCCACACTCAGGTCATTCTATTATCAGCAACAACATGGACTAGACCACTGACGCACAAGTAGGAGAAAAAAGTGAAATTAATTCCCTCATATTTAACTGGCTCTCTGCCCGAGAGAGGAGGCGTGGGGAGATTTTCAGAGTTCTTCATCTATCAAGGCACCGAAATCCGTCCTGGGGGACCACCGAACACTGACTTCATAAACGCACACTGATCTGCAATCTGTGGATGTCTAATTCCTCAACCTGCTCCGGGGCTTAACTGCTACAATGCTTTGCATCTGATGACAAAGCCCAGCAGAAAGTCTGTGGCATTTTCTTAGACTTCTCCGTAGTTTTCTAAAAATATAAAGTCTATGTAAACTGACGTAACTATCAGGGAGTTCAACAGCCCATTTTCTTGTTCGATTAATAACAAGTGAGCCTAGGGACCAGCAGTTAGTTTAATGGCTATGTCGCTGAACTCCCATGTAGCTGACCGCAGTTCGAGTCCGGAACTCGGTGGCTTAAACTCACACCGGGTGTGTGTGTGTGCATGCCCAAGATCCCAAGAGGAGAATGGAGAAGAGATTGTAGCGTGGTCATCCCCCCTGGGGGGTGATTTCTCGCTTTCTATCTCTCTGTCTCTCTCTTTCTGGTGAGCACACGTGCCCTATAGCAAAAACCTCTCAAAAAATATATATATAAGTGAGCCTAAGGATAATGCTTTAATTCAGAAATAATGGAAGTACCGTAATTCCTGTCTGTCAGAAACCAGGTTTCTACAAGCCCCTTGCGTAGGACAATAATGATTTACAGAAAACCCTTATGAAGTGGTGATGGGAGAGCCTGGAGGAATGCCCTTATGGGTAAAAAGGCTGCTATGGCAATCTTTTATTTTTTTATTTACTATCGTTATTTTTTGATTTTGACCAGAGAGAGAAGGAGAAGAGAGAGAGCTAGAGAGAAAGCCACCAGGTCCAGGGCTCGAACTATGGTCGGGCATGCAAGCGTCCAGTGCCCTTAACCACCACGCCATCTGCTGGTCCAACACTATGGCAATCTTACCTACTTAAATCAGTAACAAAAACAAAACAAAAACAACAAAAACAACAAACAAATGACCCAAAGTCTTTCTAATTTGAGGCTAGAAGCTGGTAACACCAGGGCTCAGGTCCAACTGATGCCCCAGGAAGCCCTGACCGCTCTCGCTGACATGGCTGACTGGGTGTTCTAAGCGCTAGGCCATCGCTCTCAGCTCGCTGTCACAACTGTCTGCCAAAGCAAGATGACAGTTGTACCCAGGCTGATTTTCCTGTGTCCCCTGCCTCCTTTCCACGACTGACTTCATTCCACATTGCTAGGCATTCCCCTCCCTTCTCTCTTCCAAATCCCCTATGTCTCTTTGCATGTGGTTGAGCCAAACAATCCCCACTTAAGAGTTAAAGAGTGTACTCGGGGCAAACTGCTATTACGTTAGAATTTCCCTTGGAGGGGCCGAGGTGAGATGGGCCTCCCGTGAACATCAATCACCAGTACTGACTGCAATCAAGTAGCCCGCAAAGACATTTCTGTAGACTTCCTTACGGTTCTGGTGCTACCAGAATGTTCGGAAGCACTAGAAAGATTTTCGGGTTTTCTTTACACATGCAGCACTTTCTTTAAAGAGATCACACCCAATGGGGTGTGATCATGCTGCTATTCCTTGTCCATTTCTTCATCCTGTCCGGATTCGGGACACACACACACATTGCGCACACACATGGTGAATTTTTCAAGCCTCCAGAGCCAGGATACGAACCATGGTTGGCCATTTGGGATCTGGCTCCCTAATCACTAAGATAAAAAGACCTGGTACAACAACTTTTATACGATCCAGTTGTTCACCCTCTACGACCAGTGCTGTGTCAGATGGAAGACGCTCTAGAACAAATATGGTGGGCAACAGCATAGGTGTTCCTGCCATCTTAGAAGACAGAAATCACCCACATTTCCTCACTTTTCTTTCTCTCAAGGACAGAACTGATTTGTTCTGTGTGAAGAACCATTCTTCACCGTCGTGATCTGACCATTTTTCACGTGTTCAGTGACAGCCTATGTCAAAGCACTGTCCCTTCTGTCTCACGGTAGAGGTTCCACCCCTTCCTCCCATGAGGTGTATGCACTGGCTGGAGAGGGACACAGAGAGACAGAGAAAGGGAGAGAAAATGAGAAAGCACACCCGAAGGGAATGGCCATGCTGCAATCCCTTTTCCATTCTCCTTTTGCGATTCTGGGCATGCACACACACATGCCTGGCATGTTGGCATGTCTTTCAAGTTGCAGGTATGGAACTCGAACAGCAGTCGGCCATGTGGAATCCGGCTGCTTTAAACACCCTGCCACTGGCTGACCTACATGTACTTCTTAAGAAAGATGAAAGGGCGTGGTGTTTTTAATACCTGTGTGTGTTCTTCTGTGTGCTTTCAAATGGGAGCTTTTAGTGTATACTTTGTTGCATCCGTCGTAATCGCATCTGTGTATCCTCCGCTTCCTCTGGGTGTCCGGGGATTCCACAGGTAAAGGTCTCTTCCCTGGCTGCACGATGACGGAGGGGTGATTCCTGTGAAAGTCAAGGTGAAATGCATCACGCTGGGAGAACTCTCTTCTCCTCCTTCACTCTACTCAAAGCATGTACAACGCGGGGCCAAAGCAAACGAAAATCCCGACAATATAAACAGAAAGAGAAGTAGCTGATCAACCCGAGAAGGACGGCCATAGTCAGTCGACAATCACAGAGTGAGCACCTACCATGAGCCAGGCACTGGGCTTGGCACCGGGACACAGAGATGAATAAAAACAGGGGTCCTGCCCTTGAGGAGCTCACACTCTAGGGGGAGACAGACATGCGGATAAGTAAGGACAGTGTGCAGGGTTAGGGGGCGTCGCTAGAGCGAGCTCCCAGCGAGAGTGTTGTGCTCGGCAATGCGGAACACTAGGCTCCGTTTTCCCCATTCCCCATTACTGTTCTCCAGGGAAAAATGGAAAGGTCACATTCCTCTACCTCGGCAACCACACTGTAGAACGTATCTGCATTTCATCCTTCACGTCCCTGGCAGTGAGTGTTAAGTCTCCTGCAGACTGCCAATTCGCACTTAATTTTCAAATACTAGCGCTTCCAGAAATAAAAGAAGTTGGCGTTGCTGTCTTGGCAAGCACAAGCCTTTCCTGTCCCTACCACTCTGCACGAGGGAGACCTTCCTGCAGTACCAGGAGCCAGGCCAGGAGGGCCATCACCCAGGACACTGGCTGCCAACGGGCTCCGGCTCTTCCTCGCTACCTCCCTGAGTCTGTGCAACCTTCCCCGGGAGGACTTGAACTCAAAGCCCATCGAACGTCTCTACGATGAGCCTTCTTTTACAGAAAGGAAGGTGGTGGGGAGAAATGGGAGATGGGGAAGAGCTGGGAAAAGCCTGCAAAGTTTTCTCCTGCTAATTAATATAAGGGATTAAAAGGTTCTAATCTACTCATTCACTTTCCTAAGAACGTATTACTTTATAGGAGTCTACGTAGTCACTCTCCAACTATAATCAAAGACGCCTTTTTCTTTTACATTTCGATCTGTAACTTCAATAACGTTCCAAAGAATACATACTGCTGAAAAAGTGAAAAGAACTTGATGAGGGTAAAACACTCGTGCTTTGGAGAATAATAAAATAAAATAAAATAAAATAAAATAAAAGGTTAACCTTTAGCTCCAAAAATCCAAAGGGAGACCTTGAATTAAGGTTTGATTTTTTTGGTGAAAATTTGAATAAACAGGCCAGTAGGTGGTATGATAGAGCATTGGACTCCAACATGGCCTACCATGGTTTGAGTCCCAGAGCTAGCAGCTTGCTTTCTCATTTCTCTCTCTCTCTCTCTCTGGTAAGCACATGTACCCTACAGCATACTAAATAACAATAATAATAATAAAAAATAATTTTTTAAAAAAATTGAATACAAATCCCTTGTCAATCATTTTTCCAGGAATGCTAAGACACAACTAGGAAAAAATAAATGGTTTAAGGGACCTTACTTTTCATTTTTAACGAAGAAAACTCAGTTTTGAGTATCTTAACTTTCTACCCTGATGCCTAGGGGTGAGAAAGGAGATACAGATGGATAAAAAAGTCAAGTTTTGATATACGGAAAACTGACCATGAAATAGAGGGGGGAGGAGAACAAGGACTTCAATTATACGTATGTACAAACAGCAGAGAAAATGGAGTGATGAGAGTTTTATGGACAGAGTTTTCATAAGGCTGAACTATTCATTTAAAATCCTTCAAGGAAAGAAAGAAGTACTAGTGTTTTAAAATTTCTTTGAAGGATTATTTAATTATTAGTAGTATTATTAATATTATTATTTTAAAATTTGCTATTGGGCTTGTGCACTCACCAGAGAGATACACGGAAAGGGGGGGGGGGGGGTGAGAAAGCGAGCCACCGGGTCTGGGACTCAAACCACAGTTGGCCATGTGGGAATCTAGTGCCTTAACCACCATGCCACCACATCCCCTGCTGGCCTACCAGTTTATTTCGAACTTTCAACTTTAATGCCATGTAATAAAAATGGTTCATCTTCATTAAGACAACTCCAGGAAATAAGAGGCTGGGGAAGAAATTTCATGATGAACGACATCTCATGTCTCTGGGATACTGGGAGAATATTCCAAATGACTGAAAATCTCTCCCAATTATTAAATTTTATAGGTTGGGGACCTAATGGCTTTTTTGCATTATGACTGCTTTTCCCACTTGTTTATTTTAAATCCCAGCTCTAGCATGGAGAATCTGTGATCTTGGGCAAGGTACTTAACCTCTCTGTACCTCGGTTTCTTCCCTATAAAATGGGGGTGATGGCCAGCCACGGTGGTGCAGGGGTGACCCAGGGACATCCCAGGTTCACCTCTCAAGGTCTCCCTTGAGCGTGTGTGCCTGTGGTCACAGCTGGCTGAGGCTGGAGGTGGAACCCAGTGTGAAGACCTTGTGGCATGTGTGTATACAGCAGAAGTTTGTTTGTTTTTAAGTTTTTAATTTGCTAGAGAGCATATGCAAGAGAGACAGAAAGAGGGAAAGTGAGAAAGCCCTCCCCTGAGGGATGATCACACCACAATCCTACATTTGAATCTTTTCGGGATTTTGGGCATGCACACACATGCACCAAGCGTGTCTCTCAAACTGCTGGGTCTCAGACCCAATCACATAGCCAGGTGGGACCCAGATGCCTTGACCACTACTGGCCGGTCCAGCAAAGGGAATTTAACAAACCTCCGAGTGCCCATAGCTATAGCTATAATGGTACGATCAAGCAAAGAGATTTCAAAGCTGGGTTTTAGTCTCCTCTGGAAAGGAATGGTTTCCCGAGTCAAATGTTACTGGGACCGCCTCACAGCCATGGTGCTTGGTGCCTGGGTTCACGCGATTCTTTCCTGGCTAGCTGGTTTCCTACGTGGGCTGCTCCTGGCTGCACTCCAAGACATTACTTAATCACATCTGTGAGAGCATTACTTAAAGAGTGCATGTCCCAGTGTGGCGGATCTGAGTTTTTGAAGAGCAAATGCATTCTTAGGTCAAAATTGAAACAAGCGCATTACTCATTAATCACCGAAAACCACTGAGCTTGAGATCATCCAAAGACCATTATTTAAAGTAGGAAAGAACACAGCATTTTCCTTTCGGGCCATATTCAGAGCACAGAACACTGCCTTCAGATCTGCTGGAACGTTTCATATTGTAATTCCCAATAACCTAGACTTTTGCAGTAACACTGTCCAGTCAATCCACAGGTGCCCTCTCTCTGTAGGCACTTGACTTTAGTTTGATAGCATCTTTTCATCACCCGTGTAGGCATAGTCACGTTCTAACATGTCACAGTGCAAGTAACCTTGCCAGAAACACCCCTTGTCATAAACAAGAAGTCGCTCAGCCTGTAGGATGAGCCCGCTTGGCTCAGTTATTCTGTTTCCCTTTCACTGAGCAGATGCAATGGCTACTTGGGGGTAAGTGGGCGGGAAGAGCACTGTCCGGAAGCAGGTCAAGCCCGGGTCCCCCTAGTTGTCACATCAGCACAATTACAGGGCCAGTTATCTAATGTCTGACTCCCACACGCTGGTTACGGGGAATGAAATCATTCTCCTTTGAAAATACTTGGAGAAGGTCCCTCTCAGGGGCGGAAGGCACACTACAACTGTGAAGAGTTACTGTGTGCAACTCCGCCAGAGACTCGCTCGCCCTGCTGCTGATGCTCTGCTAAGATTCAGTCTCCTCTTCATCTATCAGGGAGTATGTGACAACTGAAAAAAAAGATGGATTTGCTGCAGTGGACAAACATGGGAGCGTCTATGAAGACACGGGAGCGTCTATGAAGAGCGGCTAATGGATAGAACTGCAATGTATCTGAAGTCCCCAGCCAACAGCTGCTCAAAAGCAGAAAACTCGCCATCTGCCACAGCTCGCTGTATGATAGACAGGGCGGCAAAGGTAAAGCAGGAAGGTGGGGAAAGTTGGCCAAAACGTAACGTGGGAGGAAGATGATGAAGAGGACCCCGCGGATACAGGAACCATCTTGGGAAGTTGGCTAGCCAAGTCAATGCGATGACTACTGCAAAACTCCAGCTGATGATGAAAACAAAGAGGAAACGGAGGGAGTAAGATGCAGTGACTAGAACTGGCAGGTGGCATGGTGGTTAAGGGCGCTGGACTCCCACATGGCTAACCGCAGTTCGAGTCCTGGCCCTGGCAGCTTGCTTTCTCACTTTCTCACTCTCTATCTCTCTTTCTTACTCTGTTCCTCTGGTCAAACTAAAATAAATACATAAAAGTTAAATAAAATTAAAAAAAAAAAAGTATGGTTGTTTGCAGGGCTAAAATCCAGTGTTGGGTTCAAAGTGCATCATCTTAGCTACTGGAATTAGTCCCAAGTGAGACCCATGGCAGAAGTCAAGGTTTTGTCTGCTAGAAAATCTCAGGAATGCTGTCATTTAACCTGTGTGTGGCATAGTCACACCACAGCCCGGGAGACCTAAAGCTAAAGTGACCCACCATCCACGAAGCCGATCAACACAGGACCGCCTCCCTGTGAGGCACGAGTTCTCCGGGAGACCGAGAATCCACAGGCAGCTACAATTACGAGACTAGATAGTAAGTTCTTTATTTGCAGGGCCAGACGATGGCCTTGTGGGAGAACGTGAAGGTCCCAGAGGCCTACATGACAGTACTGGCTTCAGGTCTGGAGCACACCAGGCACGGCTGGATCATGGTGTTGGGCCCTTGCTGGGATACCATATGCCCTCCCTCGCTCGTGAAGGAAAACAAACAAACAAACAAAAAAAAAAACCCTAAAACAAACCCAAAATACTAAAAGATAAAAACATAAACGAAAACAAATTTAAACAAAAAGAGAGAGAACAAAAAGTTCTTTATTCACGAGCTTCTTGGAGCCACGTGGACAACCCGCTGCTGCCACCACTGTTCCCAGGACTTTTGAAACATCTCTTGGGTTTGAGGTTGGCCTGAAGAGCTTGATTAAAGACATTCTCCATGACAGAAATAGAATACTCGATCAGAAGTGACGGTGGGAGGACGGGCTGTGTGTGTCTACATGAAAGTCTCCAAGATCCACGTGTACGTGGAATGTTTAGAACACCAGGTTCAATTTATGCAAAGATTCCAATTATGGGAAAAACTATGTATAGTTACCCTGGAAGGATGAAAACAAAACAAAACAAAACGCAAAAGATACAATGTATGTGGCCAGGTGCAGTGTTGCGGAGAACCCACTCACTGATATCGTCTTGACCACTGGCACTGGGCCACTGCCCAGGGGCTGCCACCCATGAAGCATTCTTGGTCACACACCGTACAATCGCTCGCCCTGCTGCTGATGCTCTGCTAAGATTCAGTCTCCTCTTCATCTATCAGGGAGTATGTGACAACTGAAAAAAAAGACGGATTTGCTGCAGTGGACAAACATGGGAGCGTCTATGAAGACACGGGAGCGTCTATGAAGAGCGGCTAATTAAACTTCATGGGGATAACACACTGCAATGTATCTGAAGTCCCCAGCCAACAGCTGCTCAAAAGCAGAAAACTCGCCATCTGCCACAGCTCGCTGTATGATAGACAGGGCGGCAAAGGTAAAGCAGGAAGGTGGGGAAAGTTGGCCAAAACGTAACGTGGGAGGAAGATGATGAAGAGGACCCCGCGGAGACAGGAACCATCTTGGGAAGTTGGCTAGCCAAGTCAATGCGATGACTACTGCAAAACTCCAGCTGATGATGAAAACAAAGAGGAAACGGAGGGAGTAAGATGCAGTGACTAGAACCGGCAGGGGTTTAGAGAGCTGGACTCCCACATGGCTAACCGCAGTTCGAGTCCTGGCCCTGGCAGCTTGCTTTCTCACTTTCTCACTCTCTATCTCTCTTTCTTACTCTGTTCCTCTGGTCCAACTAAAATAAATACATAAAAGTTAAATAAAATTAAAAAAAAAAAAGATTCAGTGGCTAGCCCAAGATCAAACAGATGGTTGTGTGCAGGGCTAAAATCCAGTGTTGGGTTCAAAGTGCATCATCTTAGCTACTGGAATTAGTCCCAAGTGAGACCCATGGCAGAAGTCAAGGTTTTGTCTGCTAGAAAATCTCAGGAATGCTGTCATTTAACCTGTGTGTGGCATAGTCACACCACAGCCCGGGAGACCTAAAGCTAAAGTGACCCACCATCCACGAAGCCGATCAACACAGGACCGCCTCCCTGTGAGGCACGAGTTCTCCGGGAGACCGAGAATCCACAGGCAGCTACAATTACGAGACTAGATAGTAAGTTCTTTATTTGCAGGGCCAGACGATGGCCTTGTGGGAGAACGTGAAGGTCCCAGAGGCCTACATGACAGTACTGGCTTCAGGTCTGGAGCACACCAGGCACGGCTGGATCATGGTGTTGGGCCCTTGCTGGGATACCATATGCCCTCCCTCGCTCGTGAAGGAAAACAAACAAACAAACAAAAAAAAAAACCCTAAAACAAACCCAAAATACTAAAAGATAAAAACATAAACGAAAACAAATTTAAACAAAAAGAGAGAGAACAAAAAGTTCTTTATTCACGAGCTTCTTGGAGCCACGTGGACAACCCGCTGCTGCCACCACTGTTCCCAGGACTTTTGAAACATCTCTTGGGTTTGAGGTTGGCCTGAAGAGCTTGATTAAAGACATTCTCCATGACAGAAATAGAATACTCGATCAGAAGTGACGGTGGGAGGACGGGCTGTGTGTGTCTACATGAAAGTCTCCAAGATCCACGTGTACGTGGAATGTTTAGAACACCAGGTTCAATTTATGCAAAGATTCCAATTATGGGAAAAACTATGTATAGTTACCCTGGAAGGATGAAAACAAAACAAAACAAAACGCAAAAGATACAATGTATGTGGCCAGGTGCAGTGTTGCGGAGAACCCACTCACTGATATCGTCTTGACCACTGGCACTGGGCCACTGCCCAGGGGCTGCCACCCATGAAGCATTCCTGGTCACACACCGTACAACGGTGTGACATCTCGTGCTTCCATTCTGGGTCCCGAGATGCACACCCTGACACAAACGCGGGTAGACCTAAATATACTTACTCTTGCAACAATGCTTGTGGGGGGGACACAGAGTTCATTAAAGGGGGTGACATTTCTTCAGGATAGTAATCTGGCCTCTGCGGCTCGATCCCGGGTTCTATTTTAATTTTCTTCTGCAATATAGGCTTCTCATACGATTCGATTACAGGTACTGAAAAATAAAACATAGAAAACTTAGTCTGTGGACAACTCGCCAATTCCAGGTTTTCTAAATTCACTGCAGTTTACCTACAACACTAAGGTGTGAGCATGTATTTGCCTTGGGCAAAATTAGAGTAGGAACAAACTTGATTCTTATCTGGTTTCTCCTGACCACTATTTTGCCAGTAAGCAGTAAACATACAGACTTCACTTTTTTTTTTTTTTTTTCTAAATTTATTTAAAGTTTTGTTACAGGGTGTAAGTGCTCGCTGGGAGAGAGACAGTAAGAGGGAAAGTGAGAAATCACTCCCCCCGGGGGTTGGTCTTATTGTAATTCTCTTTCCCCCATTCTCCTCTTAGAATTTTGGGCATGCAAGCACACACACTTGGAATGATTTTCAAACTTCCAGGTCTGGGACTCAAACCGGAGTTGACCATGTGGGAGTCCAGTGCCTTAAGCACCACGCCATCTGCTGGCCCCAGAGACCTGTGACAATGGCCCTTGAATGATTCTTTCTTAAAATGTTTGGTTATCTCCTTTCAACCCTATTGTCTTCTCTCTATGACCAGTTGGATTATCAACAAGGTGGCTTTTAACAGCTAGTAGTTATCAAGCTGGTCAGAAAAGCTGGGCCGAATGGTGGTGGCAGGGGTGAAATGCAACCCTTCCCAGCCCTAACCGACATGGGAGGACGGGGTTCATGCTCAGAGCCTCCTTCGGTACTCTGCGATCCTGGAATTTCTGAGGCTCTGGGTGGATTGATATCAGCCTGCTGGGGCGTGCTCTCTCTCACTCAAGGAATTAAAAAAAAAAAAAATCTTTGAAAGCTATTGTATTAAGGGACTAGCAGATGGTTTAGTGGTTATGTCACTGGACTCCCACATAGTCAACTGCGGTTCAAGTCCCGGACTTGGCAGCTTAAAACTTATACAGGGTGTTATGTGCGTGCGTGCCCCAAATCCCAACAGGAGACTGGAGGAGGGGAAGGGATTGCAGCATGGCTACCCCACCTGGGGCTATTTCTCTTTTTTAGTTTCTCTGGCTGTGTGCACACACACGCCCCATAGCAAAGATCTCTCTTAAGAAAAAAACGGTTTTAAAATGCCTTGAGAACGTACAAAACCATGTTGATACTGGATAATGCAAAATTTAAGTCAAGATTCTTAACTACCCCAAGTTGACAGCTCTACAGAGAGAGGAATCATCTCCTGGTATTAAACAGACAGCCTGATTCTTGGGAGCTCTTCCAAGATCAACATTTAAAAAAAAAAAAAGGAAATGCCTCAGGCAGCTGAGTGTTTCCTTTGAAGAGTTCAACAGCTCTGCCTCTGTGCTCCCTCCCCCAGAAGGGCCTGAAACCCAGCGCACCCAGTGTGCGAGGCGGGCGCTGCGGTGGTGTGGGTGTGCCCCGGTGGGGACTCACCCTGCATGCTGCTGTTCGAATTTTCCATCTCCTCCGACAAGGAGACCATGAGCGGCTGCTGGAGGTGACTTGTGTACATGAACGGGACGGGCTGCACCACGACAGGTTGGATGACAGGCAGGATCCCCGGGCTCCGGATCCCATGCCGGGACAGGGCAGCGGCCATGACTGGCGGCATGGACAGAGGCACCCCGAAAGGCTGCACGCCCGGCGACGGGGGCGAGTACTTTTTGATCGGCGGGCTGGAGGAAGGGATGCTCAACCCCGGCGACGCCCTCCGGTGCGAGAACTTGAGGGAGGAAGGAGAATTCCCAGCCGAGGGCGGTGAGCTGCGCTTGTTCACCGTCAGGTCCACCGGCTCCATCTGCCCGCCGTGCGACAGCCCCTCGGGGGCCTGGAAGAACTTGTCGGGCAGAGGCGTGGAGTAGATGACCCCGTACTTGTTGGGCTTCATTGACTCCATGTAATTCGACGGGTAGGACTATCGGAGAGAAAGACGCAAGACGTGAGAATTACGATATGAGCACATTTCTGTGAAGCACGGATTAAGGCCCAAACCTCTAATAAGGCACTTAAAATGACAGGGATTTAAAAAAGCATTTGGGACCAGCAGATGGTGTAATGGTTACATGCTGGACTCCCACATAGTCGACTGTGGTTCGAGTCCCGGACCTGGTGGCTTAAACTCATGCCGGGCGCATGTGCGTACATGTCCAAGATCCCGGGAGGAGAATGGAGGAGAAGGGATTGCAGTGTGGCCATCCCCCCGGGGGGTGATTTCTCGCTTTCTGTCTCTCTGTCTCTGTCTTTCTGGTGAGCGCACGTGCTCTTTAGCAAAAACCTCTCCTCCCAAAAAAAGAAGTGCTATGAGGGAAATGGTTTCATGAATGCTAGAACTCAGGTCCACATGGATCCTGCGTCCTATGGAAAACCGGAAGGTTAATTCTGAGATGACTCCCGTGTCCCATGTCCAAGGTTAAGCTAGATCACAGAAGGCCCCCGAATCTTTATCATTAGGCCTCTGAGGTGGGGGTTACCCAGAACCAACCAAATCCACCCCGAGGCTCTTCCAATGGGCTTTCCTGATTGGCAAGAAGGCTCTCGAGTCAAGTCTTTAGCCTGCGTGGGGTATGGAGTATTTCTCACGGCAGAACCTTCCAGCAGCAGGACTAGCCCTGCTGAGGGTAGCGAGCACCCCCCCCCACCCCGTGTGCCCAGGACTGTCCTGCTGTAGGACTACAGGTCCCCATTCCAGAAACTTCTGTCTCAGGGAACCACGATGGCCAGCCACTCGCACCTTCAGGAGTGAAGGCCACTCTCATCAGGACAAGTACATCCTCGGCCCCTTCCTGTTCAGTCCTGGATGAAGCTGTAGACGATGCCCTGATTTCCAAATCTGAGGGTAACAGACTCCTCTTCTTTTTTGCTATAGGGCGCGTGCGCTCACCAGAAAGACAGACAGAAAGACAGAAAGCGAGAAACCACCCCCGTCGGGGGATGGCCACGCCGCAATCCCTTCTCCTCCATTGTCCTCTTGGGATCTTGGGCATGCATGCACATGTGCCTGGCATGAGTTTAAACCACCGGGTCTGGGACTTGAACTGTGGTCGATCATGGGATCCAGCAACATAGCCATTATGTCAGTAACACAGACTCCTAAGAAACAGCTGTACGACTCAGACACGGATCTGTGGTGCTCGAAGTCACTCACATGGCAGCTGAGGCCCGGTGAGCCGTCTAACAAGATGCGAAGAACACACAACATGGCCGGTTCCCCCCAAATGGAAGATCTGTCTCACCAACGACTTACTCTATCTCCAAATACCCCTTTCTCTTAGCGATCAGAATAACCTCATTTTCATCTACCCAGCTTTAAATGCGAACCACTCATCATAATTTCACTCCAGGGGTACTCTTGGGATTCCCTCCACGACTTCTACTCCCGAATTAAAATCAAACTCGATAAGCCGTTTTCTTTAGCTGCAGGCAATTGAGAGAAAAGGGTAACACTGGTGACAGGTCGAGTTTACCTGTAGAAGATTACTTGTAATTTCACTGCTTGACAATGACAATGACAACACACAGCGCCTCTCTTTCAGCGCTGAAGCCCTGTGCACTTACAATCTGGAGGCACATGTGAACCCCAAGAGGCAACCGGGAACACCCCGCATGGCTCTTACTGTTAAATAGTCTAAACACACTACAGACTCCTGAGCCTCCCTGCCCTGCCAATGGCCGCTGCTATGAGTAACTGTGGGCGAGCAATACATCTGACTCGGATTATTACTCAGATCACATCCGTTTCTCTCTAGACCTAGCCTGGGTCAGTCCCCACCTGGTGATGCATCAGGGTTATCGGTGCTGTTCTACTGAGAGAGTCTGCTATAGGACATGTTCGCTGGGAAGACAGAGAGACGGAAAATGAGATATCACCCATGAGGGAGATGGCCGTGCTGCAATCCCTCCTCTTCCATTCTCTTCTCGAGATTTTGGGCATGCACGCACATACACCCGCATGAATTTTAAGCCACTGGGTCTGGGACTCAAACCGTGGTCAACTAGTAAGAGTGCACTCACTAGAGAAAAGGTGAGAAAGCACCTTCCAGAAGGAAGGTCCACAGTGCAATCCCTTCTCCGACATTCTCGTCTTGGGATTTTTTGGGGGGCATGCACACATGCCTGGTGTGTCTTCCAAACCATGGGGTCTGGGAATTGAAGCGTGCGGTTGGCTATGTGGGATCCAGCCACCTTAGCTGGCCTCATCCAGTTGGTTATGAGGTTTGTTTCTTATCGTTAAGATTGCGTGCTTTGTTTTCTTCTGTCCTTTCTTTCTCTGACCAGATCACTATCATCTGTTTAAATTCTTGGAATAGTCTTCCTGCATTATAGTGCACCCCCACAATGCTCAGAGGTGTGCACGGTCAACACAAATTCCTTTACCATTGTCGTGTTTACCTGAATGTGTACGAAAAAATACTGTATTTTCTACAGTAATGATAGAAGTCCTTCTTTAAAAGAAAATGATTATGCTACAAAAGCAATTCCACAGGGAACCAGCAGTTAGCGTAATGGCTATGTCGCTGGACTCCCACGTAGTCGACTGCGGTTCGCGTCCCGGACCCGGTGGCTTAGAACTCACGCCGGGCGCATGTGCGTGCGTGCCCAAGATCCCAAGAGGAGAATGGAGGAGAAGGGATTGCAGCGTGGCCATCCCCCCTGGGGGGTGATTTCTCGCTGTCTCTCTGTCTCTCTCTGTCTGTCTGGTGAGCGCACGTGCCCTATAGCAAAAATCTCTCCATAAAAAAAAAATAATGCAATTCCACAAAAGGAGGCAAGAAACATGACGAACCAAATATTAGGAGTGCGGCTGTCATGAGAATATGGCAAGTCTATCAAGGTGTTGCTGAGTACTCCCCTTCCTGGTGGTTGCGACGTTAAAGTTAAAATGGGACCCAATGAGGTAACACACGTAAGGAGCTTAGCCTAATGCTCATAGGCTGTGTTGTCCTAATGTCCCTTGTCTTTTCTTACAAGAAAGAAAGAAAAAAAATCACTGTGATAGGCTTCTTTTAAAAACCATTTATTTATTTTTTATTATTTTAATTTACCATAGAGCATGTGTGCTTATCAGAGACAGAAGGCAAGATGAGACAGCAAGCCACTGGGTCTGGGACTCAAACCACAGTTGGCCATGTGGGAGTCCAGTGCCTTAACCATCATAGCACCTGCTTGGCCACTGTGATGAATTCTCCAACTGTACTTTCACCCTCACCAGGAGATCTTATTAAAAGGCATGTGTAGAGACCAGCAGTTGGTGTAATGGCTATGTCGCTGGACTCCATGTAGTTGGCTGCGGTTCGAGTCCCAGACTCGGTGACTTAAACTCACACCGGGCACGTGTGCGTGCGTGTCCAAGATCCTGAGAGGAGAATGGAAGAGAAGGGATTGTGGTGTGGTCATGCCCCCGGGGGGTGATTTCTCGCTTTCTGCCTCTCTCTGTCTTTCCGGCAAGCGCACGTGCCCTGTAGCAAAAACCTCTCAAGAAAAACATAAAAGGCACATGTGGAGTGACTAGAGAGTGGCCCAAGGTGCCACAGGCTCCAAATAGCAGATATAAAACGAAGACAATGAAAAATATTTTCAGGGCCATATGGTGACCCAGGAGTAAAACACAAAGCTCTGAAAGGATACCTACATCAGACGGTTCCTGGTTCATGTCTGGAGCCCTCCCTGAATATGCTGCCATTTGTATTTGCCCATGATTCAGGGGTCGCTGATGGATCTTGGTGTTAAGACCCTGTCAGGGTGAGGAACCAGCAGTTAGCATAATGGCTATGTCACTGGACTCGCATGTAGTCAACCACGGTTCGCGTCCTGGACCCGATGGCTTTAAACTCACGCCGGGCGCGTGTGCATGCGTGCATGCCCAAGATCCCGAGAGGAGAATGAAGGAGAAGGGATTGCAGCGTGACCATCCCCCCTAGGGGGTGATTTCTTGCTTTCTGTCTGTCTGTCTGGCGAGCGCACGCGTCCTATAGCAAAAATCTTTCAAAAAAAAAATAAGTAGGGGTGGTGGAAAGAGTTCTAGTTCTTAAGTTTGATCTCAAAAAGTCCGTGGAACTGGAAGTAAAGGCTGAGTTAATTTTGGTGCTAAAAAAATAAAATAAAATCAATAAAAATTGGGCCAGCAGGTGGTGGGGTTGAGAGGGCTGGAACCCATGTGACCAAAAGCGTGCTTTGAGTCCCAAACCCAGTGCCCTGAAAAACACACCAGGCATGTGTGTGCGTGCCCCAAATCCCAACAGGAGGGAGAGATGGAGGAGGGAATGCAGGGTGTCCGTCTCCCATAAGGGTGTGTTTTTATTTCCTCTCTCTGGCGAGTGCACATGCCCTCTGGCAAACAAACAAGCAAAGAATTAAATTTGAAAAAAAAAAAAAGGAAGTCCATGCCTGGTCTTTCATAGAATGTGTCCTCCATGTACTTATTGAAGACCCTTGGGGAGCCCCTGAAGGGTACAGATCCTGATACTCAGAGAAACTGTCGTGAGATGGGAGGCAGCACTGTTTCTTCCGGATGCCAAAGTGTAGCTTCTCCTTCATTTCCAACCCCATTCCTTTTTTTTTTTGGAGAGGTTTTTCGCTACAGGGCGCGTGCACTTGCCAGACAGACAGAGAGACATAGAGACAGAAAGCGAGAAATCACTCCCCAGGGGGGGATGGCCACGCCGCAATCCCTTCTCCTCCATTCTCCTCTTGGGATCTTGGGCACGCACGCACACACGCCCGGTGTGAGTTTTAAGCCACTGGGTCTGGGATGCGAACCGCGGTCGACTACGTGGGAGTCCAGCGACATAGCCATTACGCTAACTGCTGGTTCCCTCCAGCCCCATTCTTCATGACTCCCCTATGATCCAGATTTTAATGACAACTGTTATTGGCAGCTACATAGGAAGCAAAATGAGGACAAGCTTTTACTGGTGT